CCCGGGGCTTAAGTGGAGAGGAAATGTTTTGAGAATGATGAGGGCAATGAATGTACAAATGTGCTTTACACAATTGATGTATGTATGGACTGTGATAATTGTTGTATGAGCCCCTAATAAAATGATTAATAAATAAATAAGAGGAGAAAAAAAATCTTTATGGCAGCAGACTGCCACATTTTGTTCGCACAGAGCAGCTGGGGGTTAGAACTGTTGACGTTTCATTTAGCGGCACTGAACTTTTGTGTCTCTAGAATGCCTATAAAGTATAGAACTCGACCTAAATCAGCATGTCTACAGTGCCATTCTTGACATGCCACCTTAAATAAGGGCGTGAAGCTGCTGCTCCGTGGATGGGGTGAGTGGGGCTCTGGAGTCAGACTATCCTGGGAACAGATTCTGGCTCCTCTGTTTTACTGCTTCTTACTGATACCTCCAGGGCCTTTGGGGACAGCAGATTCACCGATGTCCTTTCTGTTTTCCTTGTGAAAGGTGAGCGGAGAGTAAGGTCAAGGAAGAGAACTGATAGGCTTCTACAACACACTGGCGTGTGGTGTCTAGGGAGAAGCAGAGTGTATGATCACTTTGTATTCCTTCCACAGGGATTGTGAGCTAGATTCCAGGGCAGCCCCAGGGCTGCCTTGCTTTCCCCTTCTTCTCCTGGGGTGCTCTTTCCCCCTTGTAGGAACAGCCTGATGCTGTTGTCCCAGTCTGCCTGGGACGGTGGCTTAAGCCAGCTGGCTGCGGCAATAGGGCAGTGGGACTTACTCTGGGGCGCTTCTCTTGCTCCTTGCTCTTTCGTTGTTGCAAGGCAGAAGGCCCTTAGACCCATTTTACTTAAACTGTAGTAGTTAGCCTCTGACATTCATTCAGCTTTGAGTTGGAATACACTGACAGAGGCAAAGGAAACCCCCCGGGGTCCTCACTCATTTACTGTCGTTTCCCAAAGACCTTTGAACACAGAACCCATGTGAATAATAAATGCTAGCTTGCTTTCCTTTGGTCAGACATGTCTGCTGGAGATCTTTCAGCAGCCAGGCATCGCCAAGTGTAAGACTTGCCATGATCATGACACCATCCCACTAAGAGCCTAGTACCGATGGCGAGAAATGCCTACTTTCCACACTGCTAGGGGGATTGAATGATATGGAGCATTGAAAAATACAGCTAGCTGGTATAGCTAGTCTTGAATCCATGCATTTCCCTTCTCCCACTCCTTTCCCCTGACTAATTGCAAGGCTAGTATGAAAAGGAGGGACAGGAAGAAATCCAACACAAATTTGAACTTAAAAAAATGTTTTTCCTGCCATCCCTACATGACAGTAATTTAACTCTTTCGGGGACTACAGGCAGCTAACAAAGCAGATGACAGTGCAACTTTCTTCCTGATGAGGGGTGACTCGGGAAGAGACGGGTACAGTGCTAAATTGATTTGTGCAGGGCACTCCAGGACCCTACCTACTTCACATCTTAACAAACTACATCTCTGCTTGATCAATCCCTTTTTGCCAGAAATTACAAAGAAAAACTACAGCATGAATATACTTTGACCAATTTCCCCGTAAATCTTTTCAAATGTGACATTTGTAAGTTACCAAATCTGTAAACAGCCATGTTATTTTTTTAAGCAAAGTGTTTTTTGGTTTTTCACTATGATGGTTTCTTCATAGGGAAGTGAATGACAACTATTTGCTGGACATGTGCTGAGTCCAAAGGTCTGTGCCTGCTCAGTGCTGAGCAGTGAATGACTCTTTCTAAGGTGTTCACATTCTCCGTGATTTAGGATGAGCACATGGAGGTGAAGGGAATGTACAACGTTTCATAAAAGCACTGAGCTTGTGAAACCAAAATCTGGAGACGGCTTTGGAAATTATTTGCATATTTGAGAGAACAAGCATGTTTCCTTTCCTCTTAAAATGCAGACCAAGTAAAAGATGCTACAAAGTTTATGAGAGGCTGTTGAGATTTCTCTTTGTGCTCTCCGAAGAAAAGTGCCCAAGAACCCGGTGGAGCAATCTCAGACTGCGTTCTCTGCAGTAAAACTAACCAGCCCAGCAGCTAGAAGCCCGATTCTTCTCTTGGGTTTTCAAAGAAAGGCATCCATTACTAACAGTCTAGTACAGAAGAGATGATCTTGGAGTTGGAGTCTAGCTCTAACGTGGTCATTTAATGGTTGTTGATTTCAAGATAGCTGTTTTTTGGCAAGTATTCAATCTTTTCATTTTCAAAATGGGGAGATGATATGGTACAAATATCTTAAGGGGCTGTTCTGATATTCCATTGATTGCAATTTTGTCCATATATTGTCCCATTTATCTCCTTAGATATTTACTGCCTACCTTTTCTCTCTACTGTATAAATTTCATCATATCAGAAATGACTTTGTGGATGTCGTCATTCTACTGTCAGGAAAGTCAATACTTAAGTTCCAGTCATATCCTGTCCAGCCTCCCTCCTTTTTTTTTAAAGGTATCTCTTAAAAAAGTACTACTAGATTTCCTTCCTAAGTGGTATTGGCATTTAAATCACATGGAATGAAAATGGTGAGAGGTTTTTTCTTGTTGTTACTCATTTCTTTTTACTAATTTTTGTAACCTCTAAGCGGGTTTCTTGGTTTTGCTGATTATTCTGCAATTTCCAGGTTCTCTCCAGATGTGAAGAAAACTGCTTACTTGGTTGAGATGCTTGTACTTACTTGATGAAGTACTTGATTCCATCTGCTGTGTAAGCTTCCTCCCACCCGTAAGGTAGACCTAAGTGAAAGGAAACCAAAAATACACTTAATAAGATGGTGAAGATAACTTTATTTGCTGGACACAAACCTTCTATAGAGTCATAATTATTTTAGTGTACTTCTTATATGGAATGATTTTCTAGAAAGGGGAATCAAGACAATTCGGTGCAAGCTTTCGCACTCAGCATCTTTGGAACATAACAAATAAGTCTTAAACAGTTAACAATCTGCTTTAGTTGCAATAACAGGATTATGACTTGACATTTACATGTGGTGAGCGTTTGTGTCAGCAGGATTTAAGCAAGGATTCTGGGTACAGCGGCTGGTTTTTGCCTGGAGGCAAAAAGAGGGACAAGATGGCCCCTGCTTTTCTATTCTGGCTCACGTTTCTTTAATTGGCTCCCTTTACATTATTTCACTCAGCTCTGGAGGGAACTGATGCACGAGTGCCAGATCAGCAGGGGTTTAAAAGTACTTTTGGACAACACAAAATGCCTTAAGAGTTTGAAAGTCTAGCAAAGTGATTTACAATGGATTGTGGTATTTTCCTGGGTTAATTAGGAATTGGGTGCACTAAACACAAATAGCCAAACAATGGGCTAAACTTAGATTCCATTTCTATAATAGGACTGAGTATAGTTAGTTACCTCTACAGAGATGCAGAATGAGGAAAGCAAGCACTTAATAGGCCATGTTTCTGTAAACGAGTACAATTTTGTTCTCATCATACTAAGAGGCTAGCACTCATGTTGAGGGAGCCACATTCAGTTGTCTTCCAATTATGGGTGATATCCCACTGGGACACCAAAGCTTCTATCCCCCGGCTCTGTTCCTAGGAGCCATGGTGGCACAGTGGCTATCTGAGAGGTCGGTGGTTTTAACACACCAGCCAATCCATGGAAGAAGGATGTGGCAGCTTGCTTCCATTAAAGATATATAGCTTTAACAATCCAAACAGGTAGTTGTAATCTGCTTTATAGAGTCAAAATGCGACTAGACCACAAGTTGGACAACAAGATGGTTGGCATTCTATCCCAGATAGAAGATTGCTACTAAAGATTCTAATTACCCCTTTGGATTCGTTAATTGTTCCTGTCTTATCATAGCTTCTTTGATGCATGGCAGATACATTAATACACAAGAGAAAACATCTCTGTGAAGCAGGTAGGCTGGGTCTCCAGAAGGTAACTGAACCATAAAGACAAAACACTGACTTTCCTTCCCCTACATCTCATTGAGAAGCACAGCAAATACACAGGAGTTTTTTCAAATGAATAAAATCTTACTTTTCGGGGGATCTGGGAAGATGGTGACTAAGTAACACATACCACAGAGACTCCACAGAAATCAGCGCAGGAGAGTTACTAAGAGGGAAATTTCACACAGCTGGAGAAGGAACATCCTAAAGATAACTAGGCACAGATCCATTAGGTTTTGAAGAGCTGGGGGATTTTGGCTTACCACAGTGGAGGCTAGCTAGGGTTTAATCTTAGTCCGACCACTGTCTCAGCCAGAGCCGAGATCATTTGGAGACAGTGCAGGGGCTTTATCTCAACACAGCCACAGCTTACAGTCACCTTGGGGCAGGGATTAAACCCCTCCAGCCCCACGGTCAGGGGTTGGGGCTGAGCTATACTGTGAGTTTTGTTTCCCTCTCTCTTCTCTACCCCTCACAGTCTCAGTGGGCTTAGTTTTTTTTTGTTTTTTTTTTCTTCCCTTTCCTCTCACACACCATTGATGACCTCCAGACCACTCCCCTTAGTCTAGGGCATTTATGCCTGCCCTCCACCCATCTGGGAGAACTCCACCCTCTGCAGCATAATGCAAAGCTGGGGAAAGCCCACCTACCCCCCACCAGGGGATATCCCGCCCAACTTCTTCCCAGGGAAATTCGGCCAGCACCCCCTCTGCAGTGCTTAACACTTGGGTGGGGAAATCCCACTCAGCTTTTCGGGGGAGATCCTGCCTGCATCGCTGGGGTGCTCCTATCTGTCCTCTGTGGTCCCACATGACTGAAGAACTTCCTCCCACGTGCCATAGTGCCTTACACGACCTCAGACAGCTCGGCTAACACTCGCCAACATTCCACGCTGCTGCGGGAAACTCTGTCCAATCTCTGCAATGATCTACCTGGCCAGGGAAATTCTGTCCACGAGTCATGGTGCTCGGCATCAAAGCAGGAAACCCACCAGCCTTCTGTTACAATCTCATTGCAGTTGGAACTCCCAGACATGCTCTGCAGTACACCAAACTGCTGTGGGCCACAACATCACAGCTTCTTGTGAGATCACCCAGGACAGCACCATCCTCGTGGGTCCACAACAACCCAATCAGTGACCCTGAGAGGACTGTCCAACGTATCCTCCAAATAACAGAATACTGACTGACAACGGAAAGAGTGAAGCCACAGGAGGGTAAAGTGGCAGGCCAATCCCATAGTGAAATTAACTGCAGGCAGTTTGAAGAAACATTCCTACGAGTCCCCCAAGTAGAGCCAGTATTCTTTGACTCCCTGAAAATGGCACCTGGCTCCTTTAAAACAATGCAACACAAACAGCAATCAGCACCAACGATCTCAACGAAAAAACAGGAGAAACAAAAGGCAATGGTAGAAGATGTACTGAACCTAACAACGTGCATAGAAGAACCAGACATTGATCTGCCACAGAAAGAAATTTTCAGAATGCTGCTTAGAGTCATACAGGACATGAGGGAAACAATACAGAAAAATGATGAAATGATAGAGGATATAAAGTCCATACACCAAAGGGAAATACAAGAGCATAGGGACAAAATCACAAAAACCAGTAGCAGACTCATGGACTTCACCAATTGACTGGAGGAGACAGACAACTGCACCAGTGACCTAGAGGACAGCCAAGCAGACTTTAACAAACATGAACAAAAATCTAATAAGATCATCAGAGAAGCTAAAGAAAACCTAAGAGCTACGTCTGATGCTATGAAGAGTTACAACATCAGAATAATTAGATTACCGGAAGAAGATACAACAAAGAAATCATCAACAACAATAATGAGAGAATTCTTGGAAGAAAATGTCCTCGTTTAATGAATGAAAACCAGGCAACCATTTAGGAGGCTGAAAGAACACCAGCTAGACTGAAAGGAGAAAATCATGAGAGCAGTTAGGGAAAAACAAGCAATCACATATAAAGGTTCCCAAATAAGAACATGCTCGGACTTATCAGTGGACACTATGAAGAAGAGGAGAAAATGGATTAACATATTCCAAAAACTGAAGGAAAGTAACGCAAACCCAAGAATACTTTACCAAGCCAAATTATCTATCAAGATAGATGGAGAAGTAAGAGTCTTCCCAGATCAAAAGATATAGCATCTGGGGT